TTTACATGTTGTATGTCGATTTATAGGTAATTTGGCATGAGGAATTCATTTCTGAGGTCAAAATAAATATTCGAGCATTCTGACCGCCGCGCCAGTAGCCGGTAGTTACATTATGGGTCATCCTGTCATATGTTTTGCATGTAGTATGTCGATTCTGGGGTACTAGAAACAAGGATTCTCTTTCTTAGGTAAGAAAAATTAAGTTTCAGAACTCTGATCGGCGCGCTGCTGGCCATAGGGTAATTATGGGGTCCACCTATCATAGTTTTTCTAAAGTTTGTTCAGGTTGTATATCAGGGTTTAGGTATTAGACCACAGGAATAAAGAATCCATAAAGGTGGAGTAAATCACAAGCAGAGCATTCTGACCTGTTATGTGGTTTATCCTACCAAATTCCAGGACATAACGGAAAGCAACTTTAAATTGGTATATTACCATATTTCTTAGAATCCAGGTCACAAGAATCTGAAAGAAACAATTTAAGCATGATTAAAATAGAAAATGTATTTATTTGCAGGGTCATTTCTGTACATCAATTATGATCTAATGTGATGACAATTCTCAGTAATTTACTTGCTACTTGTTCAAACTAGTAAACTTGATAACTTTCTAAATTTCTAAATATTTCTGAAATATCAATTTTAATATCTTGATTCTTAAAACATAATTTTTAAAGCCAGTAAGATAAAAATAATTCCAGGAAATCTATTAAACTTGAACTTATTTATGAATTAAATCATTAATTTTTCTACTTGAAAATATTAAATGCAAATATTCTACATAATTTTGAAAATTACAGAATTTAATACATTCATGTATAAATGAAATACATTATGGATATAAATGGAAGTTATCGTGAGTTAAACCAGCTTACTGTCTTACACATTCTCAATTACCAAAAGGCACACATGTTGGCTCACATATAATTGGTCTACAACCCTAATGGGCTTACTATCGTCGTTCAGAAACCACACATTATTCACATTAGATGCACATACATTGTGTCCATGTGTAGTTGCATCACTAAGGAAGAAAATTAAATATTATGTGAATAATCAAATATACCATCCAATTTTAAGAAGCAGAAGGGTATACATCTATTTGATGGCTTCCAATTAGCAACAGAGAATTGTAATTTCACCACAAAACGGGATATTTTGCAGGTTTTTCCAAATTTCTTAATCCATACAAAGCCATTTATTTTTATTCTAGAAGAATGAAAGTTAAACAATATTTAATTTTCTTCCTCAGATGCAATAAGCATGACAAAATATTGAATTTAACATTATTGGATTCTAAGAAATATGGTAATATACCAATTTAAAGATGCTTTCCGGTATGTCCTCGAATTTGGTAGGATAAACCACATAACAGGTCAGAATGCTCTGCTTGTGATTTACTCCACCTAGATGGATTCTTCATTCCTGTGGTCTAATACCTAAACCCTGATATACAACCTGAACAAACTTTAGAAAAACTATGATAGGTGGACCCCATAATTACCCTATGGCCAGCAGCGCGCCGATCAGAGTTCTGAAACTTAATTTTTCTTACCTAAGAAAGAGAATCCTTGTTTCTAGTACCCCAGAATCGACATACTACATGCAAAACATATGACAGGATGACCCATAATGTAACTACCGGCTACTGGCGCGGCGGTCAGAATGCTCGAATATTTATTTTGACCTCAGAAATGAATTCCTCATGCCAAATTACCTATAAATCGACATACAACATGTAAA